TTTCCTTTGTCATCATGCTTCTGATGTCTTGTGTGAAGCACTTTGAATCGCCTTGTTGTTGAAATGTGCTGTATAAATAAACTTGCCTTGCCTCGCCTTATTAAAACCGTCTATCACAGAGAGTAGGTACACTTAATGTAATCACCCAGGTCAACAGTTTGTGGGTACTCAATCAAAGCTGTGATCACACATCAGCATGTTACCCATCTTTGTGGATCTTCACATTCTTGCATCGTGTTAATTCTCATGTCCTAGAAAGACGTGCGTACAAAAGCCCCGCTGTTAAAATACATCTTATCTTATGAATGTACACCATTAACTGCTGCACAATAGAGGAACAGGAGCGATTTCAAATGCGCCATAAATCTTTTAACAAAGCTCACATGGATATGGCAAAGCAGATTATTAAAGGCGCCCATGAGATGGGGAAGTACTGTACAGTACATTCAAGAGGCGTTGCTAGGTAACCGTACTGCTGGGTGAGTCAATGAGCAATCCACAGGCTGTAAGAGGGGCTACAATAGAAGAGACAGCCTCGCAGGCTCACAATATTCTCAGTCCACATGGTCATTGCAATTATGCTAATTAATATAATCCTTACAGCCACTCTTGCTCAACAATTTCAATCAGACAACTGGGAGGTAAGAACAGTTTTCTCCAGTGAGGCACAGCAGGTGATACAGTTTCACACTTAAAAGGGAGGAGAGTTTAAGGGAGGCAGGCGAGAGAGGCTGTCACATGTTTAAAGGAAATGTAACGATGTGTTTGAGTCATAACAATGGACATGCAGGAAAGGTTTAGAGGATTGTTTATTCAAGCTCGGACCCCCTTATTTACTGTTGTCACTTAATTTGCAATTTCTAAAAAACCTGCCTTTTCCTTTGCAGTGTGTTTGGATAAAACATGATGCCGTCGTAGCTGTCATGTATGATCAAAGGGAATGTCGTATCATAGACACAAAAACACACCAGGTAGAGCAGATAATGAGTCACCTTTAGTGAGACACAGCTCTCCTGTCGGGTGCAGAAGACTTTTTTTTTACATTTTGTTGTGGAGCGCAGGCTTCCTTAATCTGTAGAGGTGGTAAACAGTGTGTCTCTCTCTGCTGTGCAGTAGGTGACCCCACGCTGTTCATGCTGTACACCTGGAGCACCAAAAGGACATTTATCTGGCGGTAAGATTTGTGAATTTTCACAACCAGCTTGTTTAAAGTAAGATTAACAGTATCAGGTATTGCAATTACAGCCAGCGATTTGTGTTTTTGTCATATTGAAGATAATTTATACACCTATAGAGTCATTAATAAACCGGATTAGTTCAAAAACATTCAAGTGGAAATTGATTAGTCTCATTTTATGCTCTTCAGGAGTAAAGTCAATGTTCCAAATGCTCTAAGTTTTTTTGGGATATAAGTAAAATTTGCTGTACAATGCACAATACATAACCTGATGTTTAAACATAATAGAACTGAACAGAATGATTATATTGTCATTGCACATTGTACAAATTTGATGTGCCTCTCTTAAACAACACACATTCATCACATCCCGCATGCATTCATGATAGTTATTAGAAGTGGTAGATAAGGGTTACTAAAAGAGATACATAAAAAAATTCAGAATTATTGAAAATTGAATGCATTCAGTCTTAAGTGTTGTTTCTCATGGATACAGTTGCACCTAAAATGGATATTATTGCACATTTTATATTATTGCACCATAAGTAATATTTCACATCTAATTTTATGCACCCTTGATAATGTTGCACAATCAATGTAAGGCTCTACGCTCATACTGTCAAAAGTACCACATTGCTTTGGCACAAAAATATTTCATCTGTTTTCTGAATCATCCATAATAACATCATTCTGACACTTTCATTTACCTTCACAGATATCTCCAAGCAAATAGGATTACCCTGATCCGTCTTTTCAGCGTCTTCTCCTCTGTGATCAAATAATATGAAACCATTCACAAACACAATCGGGACACTCTGCTTGTTTACATGTGCTGCTCTTCATAATACTGGAAACCTATAGCATGAATAAAAAAAATAAAAAGGAATGCAAGGTAATCATTTTATTCGGCGAGATCACATGAAGGCACAGTGGCTGCAGGATGTGAGCCTGTTAGCATCATGCATCTTCATTTCAAATGACAACAACAGGATTTTGTAATATTAGATTCAGGAATAAAAAAAAAACAGCCTTTACAGAGTCAGGAAGCATGACCAGGAAAAAAGACTTCAGAAGAAAAGTTGTTCATCATCTATTTTTATCAGTTTCATTATCTTCACAGGAGGTTTAAATGTTTTAATTATTTCGATTTTTCAATGTTAATTATTTAAATTATCCGTGACAATCATGTTCCAAACCAAAAGCTCATTAGTTTTTTATTGTGTTCTTTCCTGCTTTGCTGTCGAGTCATTACATGAGGATGTCAACCATAGCTGCTTAAATATTAATGAAACAAGAAGCTTTAATGACACCTTGACTACAACCACATTACACCATAGTACACAACAGGAAGTATATGTTAGATTAAAACAGAATCAATCTCCCACTTGTTGATATAATGTATGCTGTTGGCTTGTCTCAGTAATGCTGACTTGAGTTTATTTGAATTTGAGTGCAGGTTTGACCATTACTAGGACAACAGTGCCATCTAGTGCACAGACAGAGAATTGTCAGGGTGTTGGCACATTTAAGGCCAAAGAAGTGTGTTTTTCTTTATTGTTCTTAGAAGCTTCTTAAACATTAGGGGCAGCAACACTTCCCATCCTTTTATTTATTTATTTATTTTAGTTTGGCAGTCAAACTTAATCAAGAAAAGTCTACACAGTTGTAAAAGTATTTGCTGATGGTTTCTTCCTGCTTTCTAGAGAATTCGAAATCTGTAATATTGTACACTTGGTGGAGGAAAGTCAACAGACCTAAGTGTTTTTTTTTTCATCATTCGTTTCATTTTTTTTTCCTTCTTCATCTCTCTCTGGTAATCAGGCAGTTCTGGAGATGCTCAGCTGGTGACCTCAGAGTGCTGCTCCCTGCAGACCTCCAGAAACCTCCAGAGCTTCAAACCACATGTCACTGTTTGTTTTTTGTCTCCATCGACACAGACATAATGAAAGAGTGTCCTGTCCACATAAAAAATAGTCTTTTTATAGAGCATCAGAAGCTTGTAAATATATCCACACACATTTATTTTTACATTTTTGATACATTCTAATAGATGGTAATAGATGGTTTTATAGAACATCAATGTCCAGTCAATAATTTAAAGCCACAAAGTTGGTCCTTGTGAATGATCATCATCATACAAATAGGCTGTATTAATTGCTTTGGTCTTCTTTTCCCTGTGTTAACAGCTCAAGCTTCTTCAATATTCCTGACATCAGTATATAAGTATGTTCCTGTATACTTAACCAGTCCCTGTTTTCCACTTCTTTCTCGCTGCCCTGCTGCTGCAACACCCCTGTACTAATTCATACCTACCAGTTGGTTGGTTCTACAGAAACTGGTATAATGGCAGTCAGTGTGCCAGCAACTTTGTTGCAAAAATGTCTATTTGTCATTTTTAAAGTGCAACTTGAGCCTAAGGATTTATGTAAGAGAACACAAAAAAGTGACGTTCTAGTTGCACTCATCCTGTTGTAGGAAAATTAGATAATTAAGTTTACCAATCAACTACTCCTCAGTAAGCTACTGATATTTAAAAAACGGTATTTTATATTTTATATTTTACATTTTTAAATTCTATTTTATATACTGTAATAGCTTCTTATACTGTATTATTTAAGTTGTTGCTAGTTCTGCTTTATTTACTTGTTAATTGTTTAGCACCAATACACCAAGTCAAATTCCTTGTATGTGTAAATGTAATGTAATGGCAATAAAACCCTATTCTGATTCTGATTCTGATTCTGATATCTGTGTCAAGATAAACTAATTTTCTATACATATTATGTACGAGGTCAACCTGTTTATATGTGTATGTGAGCCATGGCATAGTTTTATTGATTCCATTTCCAGAAGATGAATTACTGTCACTTTTCCTGCAGAAACAACATGTGGTAACTATTCTGCTTTACACACTGTTACTTGTCCAAATAATGTGAACAAAAACAAACAAAATGCACGTATAATTGTGATTTATTTAAATTATTGTCCAGATAGAAAGAATCCTAAGGCTTTTTATAAACTCTTGAAATATCAAAACACCAGCATTTGACATATTCTATCTGAACAAAACCATGCTCTGACAAAATGACCTGTTTTGACGGTAACAGCCTTGTCAGTCTAAATTTTTGCATGCAATTTTAAATAATATAATACTGATAATACTGTAACTTTTTCTAACCATTGCAAGACTCTTGTGATATGCTAACTTAGTAGAGTAAGAGCTCTTTTTTTGCAAGTATGAATTATTCTATAGTCCCAGTACCATTAATTACTTTACTGCTACCCCTACCCTCTCCTTCTTGTTGCCAAATAATAAGTTGTGCTTAAAGTCTGACCCCCCAAATCATGCTTACTATATGTGAAATTTGAATACTATATCTGACTGGTGGAAATCAAAACATAATTTTATGAATCTACTTTAGTCTGAACGATATAAAAAAAATAACCCCAGCCATTATTACAAATCTCACTAATTTGATAATAAAAAATACTCCATGGGCCTAAAAAACATAAACTTAAAGGAAATTCCTAACCTGAAATAATTAAATAAACAACAAACGGCCACTTTTTCTTCAGAGAACTACAGTCCAGGTAAAAAATGTACACAGGTCAGGATGTGCACTATAGGTCCACATAAATATGTCATTACTCTCTTTTAGTTATTGTGTACATTTAAACAAGTTCATTTGACCATTTTATATGCAAATACCGTACAGGTTAATGTTTTCTAATGTTTACTTTTTACTTTACAACGCGACGTAGTTCACTAGAACCTGTCACCGGGACGCAAGACGTAACGGAATGTCACTTCCGGTCACCATATTTGAATGCCAACCGGTGCCAACCACGTGCCAAATTTCTTTGCCCACCTTTGGACAAACAAAGGACTCTGAAATGTAATGTTAAAAGGTAAGTTTGGTAAAGGACATTATTTTTTAAACTTGTGTTTTTGACTCTTTGACCCAGTGCAAAAGTTTATTCAGAACAGGTGAACAGGTAGCTAGCTTACATTAAAAGTTAGCTTACCGGTAGATATGCTAACAGGTGAACAGGTGAAACGTCAGGTATCTTACAGCTCTTAACTGTTCAGCATTGTGGCCACCTTTGTACGAGTCTAGTAGTTATATAATAAAATTTTTTATTATCATTTAAGTGATGATAATGTATCTAATCGTTTATAAAATTTAGATTTCCTACTAAAAACTGTGACATTCTGCTTTTTTGTTGTGAAACAAACATTGTGTTTGAAGCTAAGTCCTTTGAGTTTAAACTTCCTTCTCATTAAGAACTCCCAATATGATTGATCCTGCATTGTGTTATGATGTTGATGATTGAGGTAAACTATTATTATCAGTAATGCAAAATACCTACTTCATACCAAAGACTGATTCTAATAACAGTTTGCCAATGATTAATGAGGGGGAAAGGGGGAGAATTCCTACTTTATAAGATAAGACAGATAGATATGTTTATTGTCACTGTACACGTACAACAAAATATTGTTGGAGCAAGCCTGTAGATGTCTAATATCAGAAATATACAAACACTAAAACCAAATATTCAAATAAGAAATACAATTAAATAATACGATATAGTATACAATATACAATTAATATGCAGGTGACAGGTATAGAATAAATATATTGCACTTAGTTATACAGGACTCCAGTGGGTATTTTGAGAGTCGGGGTGAGGGGGGCTCTGAGTTCAGGGAGTGGGAGCTTCAGTGTGGTGCAGAGAGTCAGAAGGTGGAGGAGGAAGGGATGGTGGGGGGGGGCTTCTGTGATGCAGAGAGTCAGTGGGGGGGGGTGAGTGTCGCTTCTGTGTGTTCAGGAGTGAGACCGCTCTGTGGTAGAATCTGTTTCGGAGTCTGGTCGTGTGTGCGTACAGCACCCTGTAGCGCTTGCCAGAGGGCAGGGGGGTGAACATGGCATGTCCGGGGTGTGTGATGTCACGGATGATGACTTATTGTGCCTCAAGTTAAGTCAAGTGTGCTGACTGTAAAGTTTAAACTAGATTTTATTTCACTATAGCCTAGACTACTAGATTACATTACTCTAGATCTTTCTAAATTAGTTTTTCATTCATTTAAACCTTAAGAAATTATTTAAATAAGCCTATAAGGGCTTGAAGCGCATATAATGCCTCCCTTTTGGTTGTCTCTAACCAATCATTGGAATTCAGTGAGTGTTGAACTTGTTTTCTTTAAAAAATAATTAAAAACTACATTTTTGGATAAAATTATCTAAAATTCAGTCTATTGTTGTTTATAAACAATGACACCAACAAAAGCATTTAGCAGAAGTAATGTTATTAAAGTGTCTCTCCCCCATATTTAGGGCTAGATGAGCATCATTCAGTCATTTACTATTCTATGAGTGAGTGCTATGAGATGGGGCCCTCTTAGGGAGGTTTCCTACTGTCATTGCAAACTTTGAAAATTTTGAGCCACTGTTGTGGGTTAAAGTTAATCAGCCCTTGGGGGCCCTTAACTTGCCTGGGGCCCCTAGCAGTTGCCTGCCTTGCTTGTTGACAGTATAACGCTATAGTCCAGTTACATTGTTGCGTCTTAGAGAGTTTGTTTAATAAGTTAAACAATTTAGGCTCTTTTGGACTAGCTTCAGGTGCATCACATATTTTACCATAATTTAATAATTAATTGCATAAAATAAAAGTTGTTTTTATTTATCTGCAATGTGTGGCTTTTTGGGAAATGATCCCTTAGAAAAACCTTGAATTTACCAAACCAGTCTGACTTCCGTCTCTTTGCTATTTTCTGGATGAATGTGACCATATCAGTCGCCTCTTCTCACTAGACTCTTCTCCTCAGTATTCTTGTGAGTTACCAAACTGCATTCGATCTGCAGAGTCCTTTTCCACAAAGGCTAAAGACTGGAGATGCACCGATCCACTTTTTTTGAGTTTCATAGTAAGTGTTATTGTTGTTGTTGGTATTATATGTAAGGCTACACAAAGCTTTAGTCAACCCGGCATTGAGAGTTTCACATTGATCATTCTGAAGAAGCTGTTCCATCTCGTCTGAATGACATGATGGAGACGATTTGTCGACACTTCTTATAGTTCAGTCTGAATGTCTTCAAAGAGAGACTGTACGAGCTGAGAATGTTAACGTGCCCAACCATCTTCCTTGATCAGTCCGATATCCGATTTGTAAATTATATCAATAGTGGACCTGATACTGATATAAGATCGGATCGGTCCCATCTCTATTTAAGACCCAGCTCTTTAATGATCACTAATGCTTCCGTTGATATTTTTGTTTTATTTCAAGTTTATTTAACCAGGAAAAACATAATTGAGTTTAAGAATCTCATTTACAAAGGTGTTCCTGGCCAAGACATGCAGCAGTATATTTAACAAAATTACAGACATACAACACAGAAAGTCATTAGTCGAAGAATCTACAACCTGATGCATTTTCCTCCAACACCTTCAATCTACTTTTAAAATGATTGAAGGAGACCAGCTCCCCAGACACAAATCCTCCTGCAGCAGATTCCAAGATGCAGGAGCAACCTTAAACTCCTTTTCCCCATCTCAAGATGCAGTTATAATTGACAAGGATTGGTGATGATATTGTTGATGGTGTTGTTAGAATATTCATAACGCTGAAATTGATGAAGTATGACTACAAAGAAAATAATTACCCTACATCCCATGCATTGCTTCTCTTCAGGACCTTGTTTCCTCTTTTCTAGATCCTTGCTTGTGTTGTACTCACTATCAGATGTACACTGCTTCAGACAAAAGTATCTACTGAATACAAGTATACAATTGTAACATTGTAACCTTTAAAAAAAAAAAAGTTTTCTGATTAGGTGATTCTATCAACAGCAACAACATACATTGCATTTTATGGCCTTTATAAGACTGTTAACCTTAAACATGTTTTAACCAAAAGCTAGGCTGACCAGTGGCTGTTTCCTTGGTTTCCTTTCATGTTGGCTGCAACTGCTTTACTCCTGTAGTTTAAACAGATTTTGCTGTGACTTTATTGCAATTAAAATGGCAAATGCAAGCTGTATAGACTTTCAGACAGTGTTGCACACATTTATAGCTTTTGATTAAAAAAAAAAAAAAAAAACTTCTGAACTTGTTCTCACATTGTATATTTGTTGAGCTTTCCCAAGACTTTTCTTAGACAATGGATACTAGTTTAGATTAGATTAGGTTAATGAGGTTTTATACATCAGTTTTTTAAATCATGCAGAAAAAGATGAGACAAACCATGGCCTGTCTGAGCAAAATGCACATCAGGCTTTATATACATTTGACCAAGAACATGCAAAAACATGTTTTCAGTCCAAATGGCAGCTGTTTTCTGCTCCTCTTTATTTGTCCGTTTAGATTTCCTCCACTAGATGTCAGTGAGCTCCTGCATTTAAAAATTGATTTTTCAGCCTCAGTTATTCCTACCTTTAACTTTAGTTTAAGCAAATTTGAGTCAATTCTAGAACAATTATGACATCTTTGTATGTCTCAAATTAAAATGACCCATGCATGTCCCAGGGATTTTAAATGACACTAAATCATTACATTTTTGTATCTGCATGAAATACTCTTAAAAAGACATACAAGTTATCTTTCTTAGAGTTACAAAAATTCTGATGAGATATTATGGGAAAAAAGTGTTTTTAAATTCTGATTGAGGTGATGTTTATTTTTTCCTAAATTTCAGGATTCAATTTGTCCTCTTGTCCCCTTAGGCAGCAACCAAAAGAGGGAGACATTACATCATAAATAAGGAACAACATATGCTCCACATGTGAAACCGCTGCATATTGTACAAGTCTGATCCTATGACTCAGTTCTCTCAACTTCCATCTCTGAGCCACTAAGTGCCTTGACCAAATCAAGCTGCCAATTTTTATTTTATTTAGCCATCTTTTTTAAAAATTAGGAGAAAAAACTTGACTAGTGTAATTTTTTTGCGTTCTAAATTTAGCTGTTGTTCTGTTCAAGCCAATGCATTTCCTGTCTTAATTTGTATGAAGTTCTTGAGTTTGCAGCTTGCATAAAGAGTCATGTGTGACTGTAGTCAGGAGATGGCAATGGTGTCAGGTTATTGCCTGGCTGTCAGTGTTGGTGGGCTGGACGAGCAGCCGCTCCGTGGTGAGCAGGGCTCCTTTCTGCCTGCTGGAGATCTTGTACTGGCTGCTTGAGTCAGCCCTAAGCCGCTTTCCCCACGCAGGGTTCTCTTCACCAGCGTTCACCTAAATCTGTCACACAGATTTGACACTGCGTCACTTTGAGTGCACTCTGAAATGACATGTATATAATGTGGAATATTGTGCACATTTACAGCCTGGACTACCCTCAGAGCATTAACACTTTCCCTTTTTTTTAAATGTTTTTTTTCTTGTGAGGAAAATAAGACTCAAGTTTAAAAAAAAAGCAAGCTCCAAAATACTAAAAATATATATTTTTACATTCACATTTTGAGTTATTTTTCAGCACAGAATAGTTTAAATTATTATTAAATAAAAACATTAAAATTAAAAAAATGTAGGCATAGATTGAGTTAGAGGTTATTTATTTTAGTTTGTTTAAAGTCGATCCAAAAGCTGGATCACATTGTCACCATACGGGGACTGAACAGAGCCTTAATATTTCTGTGGCCAGTCAAACATGTTACCGTCAAACTTTGGGCAGCTTCAGGCCATAAACGTAACAACCTCAGTCAGCTCAAATTAGACTCCTACCTATCTATGCGTGAGAAATCTCCCTAAATGATGTCTCGTATCTTTTTCCTTGTGAGAAAACAATTTACACTGATCCTGATTTTAGAATAAATTAAATACAACGTCCTTTTTCAAATTAGAACAGTTTATAATTCAAACAGTAAAAATAAAAAATATAAATTCAACATTACACATTTTCCTGCTAATTATGTAAACACATGTATCGATGTCAAATATGTCCAGAACCCTTGTTTGTATTGTATCTGTTTAATTACTTTTAAATAGTTAACGTACAGATTTAAAATAAACATTTTCACTGCCCCTCATCGACAACGAAGTGATTTCCATATTGCATTATGATACAATAATATATTTCTATACATAAAAATCACTGTTCTGATAAGCTAATGTATCCAACCACCCGTCTCTGTCTGTCTTGTCTGTTTGTTTCCTCTACAAGAAGCTCCTTCCTGCAGAAAGTTGTGCAGAGACAGAGACCTGACATCGAACTGGGTGCCCACTACCCGGGTTCACTTCTTCCCCCTCTTTGGCTCTGTTGCTTTCTTCTGCAGTATTTACTGGATAAACTGGTTGCAACTGGCCTTGGTGGCCAGTAAGAAGGATTTTCTCTCCCCAGCTGGTGTGGCTTTGCTTGTTTGTGCTGCATAAAGTGGCTCAAAACTGGGTTGTTGTTTAGGGTTCTGTAGGCATGGAGTCTAAGGTTTTAGAGTACTGTATAAAAAATGATGATATTTTTGGTTTATCTTTTTAAATGTTGATGTTTGTGTCTCCAGAAATAGGCCTGGGAGGATAATTTCGGTCCTCCTATCCAGTTGTAAATGAGAAGTCATGGACGTCTGCTCCTCTGGGAGTCTCCGCCTCTTTGAAAAGAAAATAGAGGTTAAAAATCTGCTAAAGGAGTTAGCAGCAACCAGGATCCTTCGCTTCCTCAGGTAATGAGTTTGATTAATTTTTGACCTTTGGAAACTTTTCACTCCTTTTTAAGCCCCCTTTTATATTTTCCCTTCCCTTGGATAATAATGAGCTGTTGTACAGGCTTTTACAACAAGGACTTGTAAGAGCACATTGTGTGCATGTGAATTACATAGGTACACATATGGCACACAGCCATTAAAAAACAGCAATTATATTGTAAACCAGAAGCATTTTTTCTCTTTTTTGTAATTTCAGAAAGTCGACAATAAACATAAATGCACTACAGACAAATCAAAATACTTAAAAAAATAAATAAAATGTTTGCACAATGTTTAAGATACTTTCTTAACTTACAGGAAGACTGAAAAAACTTTTTGGCCTATAAATAATAATGCAGGGGATGCTTATTTTCTCACACAGGTGTTTGAGATCCTCTCTCTGATAAATCATGATTTGTAAACTTTCCCATAGACAGCAGTGACAGGTTTCCTCTGATAATGTAGAAAAATGGGGAAAGAGAGGGCCGGGCTTAAGTAGAGCTGTGATTTAGAGCAGAGAGATGCAGCATCTCTACTTTCCAGAGGAGGCCCTCCTGGGTTTGATTTAATTCTCTCCTTGCACTATTAAAAAGGCCTTCCACTCTCTTCACTGCATGCACCTTGCTGTCATAACTGGCACAAAATCATTTATCAATGCCGCTTGTAGGCAGTGCGACTAAGGCCTTTCCCAGTGTATATTTTTCCATTATTGATTGTGTATGTAATGCATGAGGAAGTACAAAGACGGGTCTCCTCCTGTGTTGGAATGACCATATTAGGCCAGCAGATGAGGGAACTTTTTTTCTGCTTCATCTACGAATCCATACAGCAATCATCATTCCTGCTGGGAAGGAGAGCTCGTCCCTAAAGTGCTTTTTCATTTTGTTCTTGTCTTACTGGCCACTGAAATCCACACTGATCCTGCGCTGGACGTAGGACCGACCGTATTTGGTGCAATAAACTGAAAGGCTGTGAATGTCACTGTCCCCCTTTGTTGTTTAATTTATTTTCTTTTCAAAGTGAAGGGAGGTGTCCTTGCTGTGAGAGTTCGTCATTGATGTGGCTATAGTTAGTCCGTCCCCTGCTGTGACTGTCTGTAGGAGACGCTACTTCCTCCCTCTCCCTCTCCTGCTCGTTCGTTGTTCGTGGCTTCCTTTCGCCTCGCTCGGTCTGTCTGGCTGCACTTTGTATGAAACGGGTGTATTTGATCAAGAACAAAATATTTAAGTGTGAAGTACAGCTCTAAGAGTCGCACTGCTCTGGGGTCAAACAAAGTCCCCTAACCTTTCAACAAAGCCAGCACTCTGGAGTCTCAATGTTGGAGGATCAGTTTGTCTATGTCTTTTTTGAATTCAATTAGTGTCGAATATATCCAGGCGTTGAGTCATGTTTATGTCACATTGTAGGGTTAAAAAATGTAGCAAAGTCGTTTGTTGGTATTTGGATAACTTCTTCCTTTTGAAAGCCTGAATGTTTTTTGCCAACATACTCACTGACATCACATGCTTGGTTTTGCTGCATATCATATATGAATGCTAAAATCTTTCAGACTGTAGGCTACAGGAATTCCACTAAAGTGTATTTCAAAGAAAAGCGTAGAAAAAATGAAGACACTGTCAAATAGCAGGCAATGTTATAGCTGAACATGTATCCTATCACTTGATAACAACCTCCATTTGTTTTATTTAAAGTTCCAATGATACAAAAAGTTGTATCAACAACTACCTAATGGTTTTATCAGCGACTGACAAAGCCTCTGCTCGATAAGCTTAAGGTAAATGGAAAGAATCTATTATAGACTGAACGCCCTTTATCTCAGCTGTCTTAAATATTGACACTTACAGTCATTTGTCCCCATTTTCCATTGATTTCTTGTTTTGCTTTCAGGTTATGCTGTAAACAGGGTAAATAATGACAGATCTGATCAGAGCTCCCTTCACACGTAGCTGACTGTACTGCAGCCGTAGTCCACTCATCAGCTGTGTGACTAATGACGGTTTTGAAGAAAGGCTATTACAGTCATTTAAGCTTTTCAATGAAGGCTACGTCAGCGCTGACATCTCTCAGAAACAGATCAGGCATGCTGTCGATGCCGCAGAGAGGCTGGTTGAAACCGGAAGACACTGATCAGAGCTGGCATGGGACGTGTTAGCTTGCTAATCATAATTCATTAGTGAGATAAAAGGAGGTGTGGCTTTTGCTGCAGTTTGTTGAATTTAGAGGTTAAAGCCCTGATTGGAAATAAAGAGCATGATGAGGAGTACGGATAAATGTTTACAGGATTTAACAAACGCAGTAACAAGAACACAATTATGTTCGGAGCAAAATTATCACAGGCATCATGTGCGGTTAGCCAGAAAGACTTTTGTTCACTTCTCACCTTCTTATAACTTCAGATCCATAATGTCCTTTTGATGATGCAAATTCTTAAGCTGTAAAAAAATTCTCCTTAAGAGGAAAACGAGAAAGTTTTCCACCCCACTATTTATTTTGAAGATTTGTGCAGAAAACTATGATGTCTTTCCTGGGTTTTATCACTTCCCTATCGACGTCTGGAATGCATTGGTAAGCCAGGCCTCCAAGGGCTAGCATATAGCAGCGTCTGCAGGCTTTGTACAGGATGAAGAAGTCATAATCCTCAAACAGACTTAAATTCCTCCAGAAAGGCTCTTGATCCTGAATCCACTCATTTTCTTCAAACAACCTGGCCCAAAAGAGAAGGGATATTTGGGCACGGCTGAAATCCTTGATTGAAATCTGCTACAAGTGGGCACACACACACACGTACATCGATTACACACAAATGGGCACGCACATGAATACACACACACATCCCCAGCCGTCCCCTGCTGTCGGCGAGAGCCCAGACCAGCTTGTTGAGAGGGGCTCTCTGAGCTCTTATTAAAAGGTAAACTTCTCTAAGGCCAGGGAATCATGTCAATCACAGGTTGTGTTTTCGCACGGAGCCCAAAGCCTGCTCTCTCCACCCTGTCAGACGCTGTTATCACCCTCAAAGCCATATCAGAATGCTGTTTGTTCTGCGCTTTAGTTTCACCCACACAGTGGATTCAGAAAGGTACAGGTCTATTTGATAGTGTATATTTCATCGCCGGAGAGAGACTGTGTTTGTCTTGCTGTGTTTGTCAGCTCATATTTGAGCTGAGAGTTCCTATTAAAACTAAACACCATATCAGAGGAATATTGCCACCGCCAGGCTCTTTTAAATCACATATTGCACCCATGGAGTGTGGAAGCAATTTAGTTGTAGCATAGTTTATAAATGTGTCTGTGCTTTTGATGTTTCTATTTACTCTTACTTCTCATTTATTTACCACAGTAGCCTCCCTGTACATATTTAATAATCTGTAATAATTACTTTAGTTACATCATCATTTCTGTTTTCCTAAAAATATTTCTTTGTTTGCAGTTTCACTTATTAAATAAATCCCTCATGAGCATGGAACTATTTTTGTTAAAGGAGCATAATGTATGATATCTACTTAATTGAATCATAAAATGACCTTACCACATCATCAGACATTAAGGAAACATGCTAGGTTGAAGTACTGGCTTCTCTGACAACAATGCAGTTCCGATTCTGGTCTGGACTGGTTTGATTTTGTTCTCATGAGAGAAGGTGGACAGATTTAAGGCACCCCCACACAGACGTTTTGGACACCCCTTGGTTTGCCAGATACGAGACCAGTTATCACAGCAAACCAGCAGGTGTTGTAGCGATGGAAGCGTTCAAGCGAAACTGGTTCAGATGTAAATGATTCTACTTGACCTAAAACATCCTCTTCATTTTTCTCCACAAACTGAAACATGGTAAAACTATGAGAAATATTGGAGATGGTTTTGAAAAATGGAGGGAGGTGAGAACTTGGAAAGGTTTCAAGACCGATGCAGAGCTGGCTAAACACTGAAGCTTCCTTGTCCGCATCATGGCCCATGTGCTTATCAGCTCTAGGGAGGAGGGGGCGGGTGAGACAGCCCTCTTCAATATTCTGTATTTTGGACTGCAGTACCAATTTTAAACGCTAGGTGTCAGAGTTACATATTGCTCCTTTAACTCAGCTCCAACTGGAAAAAAAATCCATTACTGTTGTTCTTCAAGTTAAAAATACGGTATGTATGAGATGACAGGGGGAGTTCGTGTTGATAACAGCACCAAGTTTTTCTTCACTCTGACTCCACCCCCTTATATATGACTGGATGGATAATGACTTTAAGCTGTTACAACATTTGCCTTTGTTCTGCGTGATACATAGTTTTTGAACTGTAGTTGTGATGGTATAATAAAATCACAATATATTTTGCCAAATTTTGTTCCCCAAACTGCCTCCAGACAGATCATTCGAATATAAATGAAATATCTCATGTATTATCAACTCACCTAGTTGAGTCAGACATGAATATATGAGGTATGTATGAGGACTTTTTAGTGCATTTCTTTGCTGCTAATACTAACTGGTTAGAGTTGTTTGTTAGCAGCGATCTTAAAAATAAATATAGCTTTTGGAAAAAAGTCTTATTCTATGAATTACATAACAATGACCAGATCTAGAGGATTAAAAAGGACTGTCTTATCAAAATACCCCTCATCTAAATAATCACAATTTTATCACGATGTCAATTAATACCTATTTGTAATAAGTTAGCTTCTAGATCCTGCTCATCTATAGATGGACCCACCTATAGTTAAGTAAAACCACAGTGAAGCATTGAGGCTCTTCCAGTCATTGGTGAGTTTGCTGGACAAACTGCATGAACTCACTGTGTTGGTATCTGGGAATTAAAAGCTACTCATGACAGTGTTGACCAATGTTGCTGGACCCATGTAGTCTGCTCTGTGGCTGAGATTCAACAACAGATACTCACTCAGTATATTTATATTTACATTACACGATTCAGCATGCATGTCATAGAGAAATACAGAGAGTGATGCTATTGAGTATTTTCTTGCAGTTATGGTAGCA